TCACTTTGCGACTAAACTATTCACAGCAGTGTCAAATTTTCTGGGTCACTGCTTATGGGTGCCAGCGCCCTACAAGCAAACCAAAAATCAAATCAATGCGACCAATGACATTACAGCTGGGTCATGTTATAGATTGAAATTCAAAGGTCAGCACAAATGGTCAAAATCCCACATTGTCTCACCTTTCTGCACGTTCGCAGCTCAGAAACAGACAATGACCATCATCATCTCCTTGTGTAGCTGGACATAGACAAGTCCACCAAGAAAAACAACTACATTTCTCTAAAGAACCCGCCCAGGGCTGCTGAAAGCTCAAAAATAACCTATCTGACAGTTTGGGGCTTTTTACCCGTGAATCTTCACTTTGCGACTAAACTATTCACAGCAGTGTCAAATTTTCTAGGTCACTGAATGTGGGTGCCAGCGCCCTACAAGCAAACCAAAAATCAAATCAATGCGACCATTGACAATGCAGCTGGGTTACTTTATAGAGACCTACATTGAAATTCAAAGGTCAGCACAAATGGTCAAAATCCGACATTTTCTCACCTTTCTGCCCGTTCGCAGCTCAGAAAACGAATATGGCCATCCTCATCTCTTTGTGTAGCTGGACATGGACAAGTCCACCAAGAAAAACAGCCACATTTCTCTAAATAACTCGCCCAGGGCTGCTGAAAGCTCAAAAATAACCTATCTGACACTTTGGGGCTTTTTACCCGTGAATCTTCACTTTGCGACTAAACTATTCACAGCAGTGTCAAATTTTCTAGACCACTGAATGTGGGTGCCAGCGCCCTCCAAGCAAACCAAAAATCAAATCAATGCGACCAATGATATTACAGCTGGGTCGTGTTATAGAGAGGTACATTGAAATTCAAAGGTCAGCACAAATGGTCAAAATCCCACCTTGTCTCACCTTTCTGCCCGTTCGCAGCTCAGTAACGGACGCTGACCATCCTCATCTCCTTGTGTAGCTGGACATAGACAAGTCCACCAAGAAAAACAGCTACATTTCTCTAAAGAACCCGCCCAGGGCTGCTGAAAGCTCAAAAATAACCTATCTGACAGTTTGGGGCTTTTTACCCGTGAATCTTCACTTTGCGACTAAACTATTCACAGCAGTGCCAAATTTTCTGGGTCACTGAATGTGGGTGCCAGCGCCCTACAAGAAAACCAAAAATCAAATCAATGCGACCAATGACATTACAGCTGGGTCATGTTATAGAGAGGTACATTGAAATTCAAAGGTCAGCACAAATGGTCAAAATCCCACATTGTCTCACCTTTCTGCCCGTTCGCAGCTCAGAAACAGACAATGACCATCATCATCTCCTTGTGTAGCTGGACATAGACAAGTCCACCAAGAAAAACAGCTACATTTCTCTAAAGAACCCGCCAAGGGCTGCTGAAAGCTCAAAAATAACCTATCTGACAGTTTGGGGCTTTTTACCCGTGAATCTTCACTTTGCGACTAAACTATTCACAGCAGTGTCAAATTTTCTAGACCACTGAATGTGGGTGCCAGCGCCCTCCAAGCAAACCAAAAATCAAATCAATGCGACCATTGACAATGCAGCTGGGTCACGTTATAGAGACCAACATTGAAATTCAAAGGTCAGCACAAATGGTCAAAATCCCACATTGTCTCACCTTTCTGCCCGTTCGCAGCTCAGTAACGGACAATGATCATCCTCATCTCCTTGTGTAGCTGGACATAGACAAGTCCACCAAGAAAAACAGCTACATTTCTCTAAAGAACCCGCCCAGGGCTGCTGAAAGCTCAAAATTAACCTATCTGACAGTTTGGGGCTATTTACCCGTGAATCTTCACTTTGCGACTAAACTATTTACAGCAATGTCAAATTTTCTAGGTCACTGAATGTGGGTGCCAGCGCCCTCCAAGCAAACCAAAAATCAAATTAATGCGACCATTGACAATGCAGCTGGGTCACGTTATAGAGACCAACATTGAAATTCAAAGGTCAGCACAAATGGTCAAAATCCCACATTTTCTCACCGTTCTGCCCGTTCGCAGCTCAGAAAATGAATATGACCATCCTCATCTCCTTGTGTAGCTGGACATAGACAAGTCCACCAAGAAAAACAGCCACATTTCTCTAAAGAACTCGCCCAGGGCTGCTGAAAGCTCAAAAATAACCTATCTGACAGTTTGGGGCTTTTTACCCGTGAATCTTCACTTTGCGACTAAACTATTCCCAGCAGTGTCAAATTTTGTGGGTCACTGCATATGGGTGCCAGCGCCCTACAAGCAAACCAAAAATCAAATCAATGCGACCAATGACATTACAGCTGGGTCATGTTATAGAGAGGTACATTGAAATTCAAAGGTCAGCACAAATGGTCAAAATCCCACATTGTCTCACCTTTCTGCCCGTTCGCAGCTCAGAAAACGAATATGACCATCCTCATCTCCTTGTGTAGCTGGACATAGACAAGTCCACCAAGAAAAACAGCCACATTTCTCTAAAGAACTCGCCCAGGGCTGCTGAAAGCTCAAAAATAACCTATCTGACAGTTTGGGGCTTTTTACCCGTGAATCTTCACTTTGCGACTAAACTATTCCCAGCAGTGTCAAATTTTGTGGGTCACTGCATATGGGTGCCAGCGCCCTACAAGCAAACCAAAAATCAAATCAATGCGACCAATGACATTACAGCTGGGTCATGTTATAGAGAGGTACATTGAAATTCAAAGGTCAGCACAAATGGTCAAAATCCCACATTGTCTCACCTTTCTGCCCGTTCGCAGCTCAGAAAACGAATATGACCATCCTCATCTCCTTGTGTAGCTGGACATAGACAAGTCCACCAAGAAAAACAGCCACATTTCTCTAAAGAACTCGCCCAGGGCTGCTGAAAGCTCAAAAATAACCTATCTGACAATTTGGGGCTTTTTACCCGTGAATCTTCACTTTGCGACTAAACTATTCACAGCAGTGCCAAATTTTCTGAGTCACTGTATGTGGGTGCCAGCGCTCTACTAGCAAACCAAAAATCAAATCAATGCCACCATTGACAATGCAGCTGGGTCACGTTATAGAGACCTACATTGAAATTCAAAGGTCAGCACAAATGGTCAAAATCCCACATTTTCTCACCTTTCTGCCCGTTCGCACCTCAGAAAACGAATATGACCATCCTCATCTCCTTGTGTAGCTGGACATAGACAAGTCCACCAAGAAAAACAGCCACATTTCTCTAAAGAACTCGCCCAGGGCTGGTGAAATCTCAAAAATAACCTATCTGACAGTTTGGGGCTTTTTACCCGTGAATCTTCGTTTTGCGACTAAACTATTCCCAGCAGTGTCAAATTTTCTGGGTCACTGCATATGGGTGCCAGCGCCCTACAAGCAAACCAAAAATCAAGTCAATGCGACCAATGACATTACAGCTGGGTCATGTTATAGAGAGGTACATTGAAATTCAAAGGTCAGCACAAATGGTCAAAATCCCACATTGTCTCACCTTTCTGCCCGTTCGCAGCTCAGAAACAGACAATGACCATCATCATCTACTTGTGTAGCTGAACATAGACAAGTCCACCAAGAAAAACAGCTACATTTCTCTAAAGAACCCGCCCAGGGCTGCTGAAAGCTCAAAAATAACCTATCTGACAGTTTGGGGCTTTTTACCCGTGAATCTTCACTTTGCGTCTAAACTATTCACAGCAGTGCCAAATTTTCTGGGTCACTAAATGTGGGTGCCAGCGTCCTCCAAGCAAACCAAAAATCAAATCAATGCGACCATTGACAATGCAGCTGGGTCACGTTATAGAGACCTACATTGAAATTCAAAGGTCAGCACAAATGGTCAAAATCCGACATTTTCTCACCTTTCTGCCCGTTCGCAGCTCAGAAAACGAATATGACCATCCTCATCTCCTTGTGTAGCTGGACATAGACAAGTCCACCAAGAAAAACAGCCACATTTCTCTAAAGAACTCGCCCAGGGCTGCTGAAAGCTCAAAAATAACCTATCTGACAATTTGGGGCTTTCTACACGTGAATCTTCACTTTGCGACTAAACTATTCACAGCAGTGCCAAATTTTCTGGGTCACTGAATTTGGGTGCCAGCGCCCTACAAGCAAACCAAAAATCAAATTAATGCGACCATTGACAATGCAGCTGGGTCACGTTATAGAGACCTACATTGAAATTCAAAGGTCAGCACATGTTCCGTATTCCCCGGAACCAGGTTGCATCAGTACCGTAACTATAATACCGACTGCGGATACTTTCCGAACCCACGTTCAACAATGGAGACAAACTTTACTGGTTCGAGTTCTCACTCTCAAAACACCAACTCCATCTTGGATTATCTTGGATGCACTAAGAATATCAGACATAAGACACTGCTAAACTGAGAAGTAACTTAGAATTGGATTCAACCACTGTTCACCATGAACTCTTTCCAAGACAAGGAGAATAAAAAAACAACAACAAAACCCAAAGCTGCTAGAGCACTGCACGCGGAAAAACTCTGCACGTGAGATGCCGTGCAGCGGGAAAAAGGCCATACATCTGAAGCATACGTCTCGTGCACAGGAGCACAAGCCCGGGAAAAACAGGGTTGATGATCACATGATTTCACGCATGAGTGATACCATACATGACCTACAGAACTAGAGAATGATTGTAGCGAAAACAGACACATAAATCATACATGAACGGTACCAGGCGTCACCACGACTCCGACATACCTCCCTCGCGAACGAATCATAGCCTAATCAATGTATGCGAGTGAGACAAACTAATATTCCGAGTGATGTTCTAACTCCTGGGGAACTGCTATTGGATGTCACACCTAACATCATTGTGTCAAATGCATGCCGTAACGTCACTAGACATATCCGGGAACGAGGATACGTCTTATCTAGCCGGTTGGATGTATTGTTCACTCTGATTGTGGATTGCTTGCTAACACTACAGTCACAGCCTTACTACCTCATCGCCACTGCCGTACCACCATCCACTATTCGCTCAGCTGGTGACATTGTCCACATTGACGTTGGCTGTGGCTGGGCAGTTCTCGGAGTCGAGCTCCACCTCACCCTCTGTTACCTCCAGTGGGATGAGGCGATGAACTGATCGTCGATACTCCTTGCCTTTGATCTTCACGTTGACTGCACGGACGACACCATCTTGCCCTGGGTATGTGGCTGTGACGCGTCCCAGAGGCCATGTCGCGCGCGGAGTACTCTCATCCATGACAAGGAAGACCTCACCCTCCTCGACGTCTTTTGCCTTCCTGTACCACTTGGACCGGACGTTTAGCGCCGGGACCATCTCGCGCAGCCACCTCTTCCAAACTTGCCTTGTCAGCACTTGTAGAAACAGCCAGCGCCGTCTGGGGTGGACCTTCTCCAGATCCTCTGTCTCCGCCTCGAGGTGTGTGACTGCAGCCGCGCGTCCCATCAGGAAGTGGTTTGGCGTCAACGCTTCTGGATCGTCGCTGTCAGATGATACGGTGGTAAGGGGACGGGAATTCAGCATTGCCTCGGCATGTACCAGCGCTGTTGAGAACTCCTCATCCGTGAGGCCAGCCTGGTGCAGCACATGCCAGAGTGCGCGTTTGACTGCCTTGACCATCGTTTCTACTACACCACCGAAGTGGGGCGTTCTCGGTGGGTTGAAATGCCACTGTACATCTCGCAGCTCGGAGTGGGTGGTTAGGCGGTCTTGATCTATCGTGCAGGTGGCTTCGCGCAGCTGTCGCTCTGCGGCGGTGGAGTTCGACCCGCTGTCTGTCACTATGAACTCCGGGGTTCCACGCCTCTTGCAGAATCGGGTCATCGCCATCAGGAACCCATCTGTGTCGAGCGAGTTGACGGGCTCCAGATGTACCGCTCTGGTCAGCAGGCACGAGAATACGCAGATATACCGCTTCTGCTGCACCTTGCCTCGTCCCTGGCGCGTCAGAAATGGACCGGCAAAGTCGATGGTCACCTTGCTGAAGGCGATAAGTGGTGACGAGGTCCGGTAATCCGGCAACCCTCCCATGATTGGAGTCAAAGCCTTCGCGTAGCCTCGTCGGCACTTGACGCACCTGTGGCGATGCTGTCGCACAACGGACTTCCCGTTTATCAGCCAGTACCGGTTGCTGAGGATGGCTGACATCTCTCGTCTTCGTCATCCACGATCAGGGCTGTGACCCGATGTTTCGGTGGCAGGATGATGGGGTGTCTTGTCGTCAGCGGCAGATGGTGTGCAGTGGTGAGTCTCCCACCGACCGTCAGTACGGTTGTGCCATGTACCTCCTCCAGCTGGGGTCGCAGCTTCAGCAATGGCTCGTTGGGATCGGGTTCCTTGCCGGACTCCAGTCGCTTGATGACCTTGCCATACACCTCCTCCTGGGCCTTCCGTACCCAGAACACGTCGGCCGCCTGGACCTCTGCAGGGGAGAGAGCGGGTACTGTCATACCGTTCACTGACTTGGCAGATCCAAACTTGCGTCGTGGAGCGGGTGTTGGTCTGTTGGCGCCAGCCTCCCTCGGTATACGGACGTTACGTACAAAGCGCTGACACCAAGCGGTGATACGGATGAGCCGCGTCCAAGACGAGAAGTTGGAGGGGTCAAGCTGGTACTTCCCTGGAACCGCGCTGAACGACATAGCGGATCGCTTCTTCAGCTCTGCCGGCAGACTACTGGGAACCTCGATCGGCCGCGCCGGGAATGCACTCTCGGGTCCGCGTAGGAACTTCGGGCCATGCCACCAGTCGTCATCGGATGCGAGCTGGGCTGCAGATAGCCCCCGGGTGCCCTTGTCCGCAGGGTTGATTGATGTCGGAACGTGCCTCCACTGACGGGGGTCCGACAGTGCTTGGATCTTGCTGACCCTGTTGCCCACCTCGACTTTGAAACGGCGGCTGTGTGAGCGAAGCCAGTACAGGACATTGAGGCTATCACTCCAGTACGTGATGTCGGACGAGCTGATGCCGAGGGCTTGGGCGACTTGTTCGGCTACCTCGGCGCCGAGTACAGCTGCTCGTAGCTCAAGCATGGGGATCGACTGTCGGTGTAGCGGGGCTGGTTTAGCCTTGGCCATGGCCAGCGTGGACCGAGCCATGCCGTCTGGATAACTCGCCCGTACGTAGACTGCTGTTGCGACTGCTGCGTCGGATGTGTCAACGAACACATGGAGGCTGAGCTCTGCATCGGCCGGATCCCGGTCTGGGTCCTTGAATGACCTGGTGGCTCTCACGGCTTCTAGCTTGGGCAGTTCCTCGAAGAACTTCCTCCAACCCTTAGCCTCGGGCTCTGCGAACTCCTCATCCCATTCCAGCCCGCGGAGGCAGGCGTCCTGGAACATGACCTTTGCTCGGATGGTGTATGGTGACACTTGCCCTCGTGGGTCAAACAGAGAGGCCATCTTGCTCAGGACAGTGCGCTTGGTGTACTGCGTGATGACGGGCACCTGGTACTTGAACGTGAAATGGTCGCTCTCAGCATCCCAGGCGACTCCTAGCGTCTTCACGCAGGGTAGCGTGGGGTGTTGGTGGTCAGCTACCGAGATCAGCGTGTTCGGCGCCCGGTCGGCTTCTGGCACAGACTTCATGACCTCTGCACTGTTCGACATCCACTTCCGTAGATGGAAGCCTCCCTTGGCCAGTGTCTCCTGGACGTCAGTACGTAGGCCCACCGCCGCCTCTGGCGTTGGCGCAGACGCGAGTAGGTCGTCCACATAGAGGTTGTCCATGATGATGGTACGTGTGGGTGACCCTTCGGCGGCATAGGTGGCCGCGACAGCCTGGACGGCCTTTCCGGCGAGGTATGGCGACGCCTTACACCCGAAGCACACTCGCTGGAATTCGAACACCTTGGCTCTTCCGTCGACCTCCCACAGGAATCGGTGATACCTGCGGTCTCTCTCAGCCAGCTCCACTTGCAGGAACATCTCGCTGATGTCTGCCATCAGAGCCACAGGTTCCTTACAGAACTTGAGTAGGCAACTCACGATGTTGTTCTGTAGTGCTGGGCCGGCGTGCATCTCCTCGTTGATCGAGACGTCGTTCTTCTTGGCCGCCGCGTCAAACACTATCCGCACCTTGGTGGTGGTGCGGTCCTCCTTGATCACGGGAAAGTGGGGTAGGAACCACTGGTCATCCGCATCGTTGTGCACTTCCGTCTCGGGTACCTCGCGGATATACCCCTTCGTCAGGTACTGTTGGATGACACCGGCGTACGCTGCTGCGAGCTCAGGTCGTTTGTACAGGGACCGTTGGAGACTCGCCAGTCGTTGTTGGGCCATCGGTCTGTTCGAGGTCACGTGAGGCTTTCTGTCTTCAGCGACCCACGGGATGCCAATGGTGACACGGTTGTTGTTGAGGCTCATGGTGTCGTCAGTCACCTTCTCGGCTTCACGCTCAGCTCGAGACATGGTCTCTCCCGTGGCTGTAGAGCGGATGGTGTCTAAATTGAACATGCTACGCACCATGGCATTCAGCTCCAGGGTTGGCTCGGTGGGCTCTGCGGTCGCGGCATGTGTGGCGTGGTGGACGGTTGGTTCCGCCGATGTTCCGCTCCCCTCCAGGAGACCGAAACAAATCCATCCGAGTGGTGTCTTTCTTGCGATTGGACCATGGCCAGGCCCATGGCGTTCGGCTAGCGAGGCGTGCAACTGTGGAACGTCAAGGCCCAGTAGGATGTCCACAGTTGGGTTAGCTGGGGTATCCGGATTCATCCCGCGCAGGTGTGGCCAGCTTGCCTTCTGCGCATCCCAGTCCACACGTTGCATGTCGGCGGTTATCTGAGGGAGAACGACCGCCTGCACTGGGGTTGTTGCAGTTGAGTCTTTGTGACAGATCTCTATGGGGGCGATCCTGGACTCGTGCTGCAGACAGCTGCCACCGAGAACAGTCGTGCGCACGGACGTGGTCTCACCGGGTGGGACATTCAGCTTCTCAGCCATGTCGGTGGTGATGAAGCTGCAGGTGGACCCAGAATCCAGCATGATCGTTGCTTGTAGCTCGACGTCTCCACATCTCACTGTCCCCACAGTCGTCATCAGAGCTGGTAGGTTTGCTGGGGTTTCGGCATGCAGGGCGCTCGCTGCAGAAGCCATATTCGCGGTGTTGGTGCGAGCGGCGTTTTGTTGGCTACCGCTGCTAGGCCTGTCAGAGTCGTCCCTGTGGAGCAGCGTGTTGTGCTTGCCTTTGCACTTCCTGCAGTGGCTCGAGGTGCAATTTCTGGCGAAGTGGCCGTCCTGTAGACAGTTCACACACAGGCCCAAGAGGCGCACCAGCTCTGATCGCTTCTGGACGGGTAGCTGTTGGAACTCCTTGCACTGTGCCATTGCGTGCTCTTCCAGGCACTTCCTGCAGCTCCTCTTCTTCCTTGGGGAGTCAGAGGTGGCGTCGCGGGTAGTGCCCGCTGTTACTGCGGCCAGGGTCGTTGACCTTCTAGGCGGTGGGGTTGGCTGAACGGCGGCCGTCTTGGTGGAGGTTGGTGTCACCAGAGAGGCGGCTTCCGCTCGTTCGGCCAACCACTCAGACAAGACACCAAGGTCTAGTTCATCCGTACTAAGGCCCTTGGCCTTCACATACTCGCCCCACTGCATTCGATGGGGGAGCGACAGCTTGGCCACCAGCTCATCACGGATCGCAGGGTTGTTCCTGTGGCCATGGCTCTTTAGCAGCTTCATAGTGAGGACGATGTTCCTCACAGATGTGGCCAAGGAGTGCAGGGCGTCCGTGTCCTCTGCTCTGGCTGGCTTCAGCGCCTTGGCCTGCTCGATTAGCTGTTTCACTACCAATTCCGGCCGGCCGAAACGACGCTCCAGTGTCCGGATGGCCTCGTCTACATTGTCTGGCACGGCCAGGAGCAGCTGTACTGCCTCCTGGGCTGGTCCCTTCAGGCAGGTCTGCAGGCGCTGGACGTTCTCTGCGTTTGAGTATGCGCATTGCTCCGTGCTGCTTCGGTACAGCGCGAGGAACGCGGGCCATTCCTCCGGCTTGCCAGAGAAGATTGGCAGCTTGCTGCTGGTGGATGACTGGCGTGCAGCCAGCTGTCTGATGCCAGCGTTACTATTCTCGACCTGGGAGGTCCGCCCTTGACGTAGGGCCTGGGTGATTGCACCTACAAACTCACTGGCCAGGTCTGCCATCTGACGCGCAGGATTGCTGTTAACTGTGCTGCCAGTAATAGTACCGGTAGTAGAGGTACAACCACTCATGTACGCGTCTTCGACCTCACTCGCATTACTTGCTGCGCCCCTACCACCGGTACACGTCTCCGTAGCTCTGGCACTAGAGTATCCACGTGGCCCTGACTCTGAGTCGGAGTCTGAGACTGTCATGTAGCCGCGTGCACGTGCACTCGTGTCGCGACGGTGCTTTCGTGGTGCGGGTACTGGCATGGATGCGTGTGGGTGACTGGGTGACGTAGTGCTCGGGATACCGCTATGCCTTGTGCTTGCGGTCGACTCGCAGCGCTCACGTCTCTCCTCGTGGACCTGTGCAGGCTGTGGTTGCACTACCGGTAAGCCTTGTACTTCTCTAACAGGCTCAGTGACACTACCAGACTTCGGCGCTCGTCGTTGTCTGGCACGGCTTTCTCGTAGGGCATACTCCGCTGCGAATAGCCGCTGCCTCAGCTCTGTCATCGATCGGGCCAGCTCATCGTTGCGTTCTCGTTCTGCCGCAAGATCCCTGGCTTGCTTGTCGCACGCTAGCTCGACCATTGCCCTACTCGCCTCAGCTTCCTCTAGGTTCGTCTGCAGTGCGTAAGCGTCTCGCTGGCGCCGCTTCTCGACGATCGCGGATTCATCGATCATCGTCTGAAGCTGTAGTAGTTGCTGCTGATACGCAACTTCCTTGGCCCGGAACTCACGTTCTACACTGCGTAGACTACTGCCAGTACTGGATCTCGGCAGTTGCTGACGCTCTACGAATGTCCTATCCCAGGGCTCGGGCCCTATTCCCCGCTGAATGGACTCGCTTAGATAGTCAGCGTAAGTGGCATCGGCTACAACAGCAGTGGTGTGTTCAATCGTTCTTTGAAG